GGGAGATCCTCTTGCCTCTGACATCCCTGTGCTGGGGTTGCGGTGTTGCCCTGCCATGCCAGGCTCTCCTGACTGTCTCCTAAGGGTCGAGCATCCTTCCATACCTTTACACTGGGGAACAAGTTTCCAGCACACAGCGCTCTTAGGATCAAGACCTCTTAAAGCATAGTGTCCTCCTAGGAAGGCAGTGACAGCTGAAGTCTTTTGGAAAATAACATGGCTGAGTCCAGTCAGCCTCAGGCAGGGTTGAGGAGCCCAGAGTACATTTTGTGACCTCAAGACTTTGCTCCAAGATAAATTCCCCAGCAGATTAAGGCTTATTGTCTGAGGTGTTTATTTATTCTCCAAAGACTGTTGCATGAGTTCCGCCCATAGGAATGTTAACACAGGGGCCCAGCATTTGTTCCTTCTCTTACCCTTGTTGTGTGAACTTGCAGAAAGTACATCATGAGTCACTGTCCCCAGCGCCTCCTAGAACTGTCCCATCAGAATGCTAAGCAGGGATGACATTACAAACCTGTAGCCCTTTCAGGATAGACTATGCCACACACAACGTGAAAAACCACTGGGCGTATGTGAGTATGGGTTTGCACAGGGTAAAGAGGAAACTTTGGTGGCTTGTTTGGAAGAGTGAGCTCAGGGCTGGGGTAGGGGCTTGGTGGGAAAATGTTCATCTATCATGGATAAAGCCCAGCACCTATAAGCAGGGATTATCGGCTCATGTCCGTAATCCTGGCACATGAGAGGGAGAAGCAGGAGTTCAAAGCCATTCTTAGCTACATAGCAAGTGTGAGACTAGTATGACTCCACGAGACCCCATCTCCAAACGAAAGTGGGCTCTGCAGTCTGATGGACCCCACTGACGTCTGCAGCCTACCTACCACTTGCTGACTTGGAGAGAGGCCTTCAGTCCTTCTGTCTTACCCCCTCCCCTTCTCTTCCCTGCTCACTCAAGTCCAGCCTGCTTCCTGGACACACCACGGCTCTGGCCCGCATCTCAGGACTTTTGTGCTGGCTGTTAGTTCTTTGAATAATACTTTTCCTAAAAGGTCAAGTCTTTCCCACCACCAAGTCCCTTAGGCCTTCACTCCATTCATCACCATGTCAAGGAGGCTTCCCCTCTGTGTTCCCACCCGTCTCCACCTTCATCATCACCTAGACACACTCTTTTCTCTTTGAGATACTGTGGGATCCCATATCTTGCTTGTGGTCTGTTTCCAAATGACTGTGAGAACAAGGCATTTCCTGGCAATGGTTGTTTATCCTTTGGTGGGGTTTCCTGTAGCCCAGGATGACCTACAACTTGCTTCATAGTCAAGGGTACTCTTGGGCTCTTCCTCCTCCTGTCTCTTCCTCAGTGCTAGAAATGTGGGTGTCTCTCTTCACCTCTGTATAGCAGTCTCTAGTGTTTTTAACGGCCACCACTCAGCAAAGGAAGACACAGCACAGGACTAAGACAAGAACGCTGTAAATCGGACTTCCGTACTCTCTGACCTCAGCCTCCTCGTCTGTAACATGGAGGTCTCTTTAAAGCTATGAAAGCAGGCTGATGGGATGCTCAGGGGGTATGGGTGCTTGCTGCCAAGCCTGACTCCCTGAGTTCAAGCCCTCAGACACACATGGTAAAGGGAGAGCATACAGTCCCCCAGTTTGTCCTCTGCCCTCCACCTGCTCATCTTGGCCCACAATAAATAACTGGAATACAAAATAAAAAATATGAAAAACATCACAGGATTGAATGGCCACAAAACATTTTCTGTATCATCCGGCATAAGACGAACAGTTAATAAAGGCCGTCCGTCTCTCTGCGTCTTGGAAGAAGCCTTGTTTCTAATACATGATCTATGTGTGCTGTGAACTCTATGAAATCCATAACCCCATTTTTCCTTAAAGGGAACACATGTTGTAAAATCAAATTAGACTGCAACTAGGGACCATATAATTGGTTCCACTGGGATTATTTTGAAAGAATGATTGTCAGTAATTAACCAGGGCAGGAAGAGAAACTAAAAGAATCATTCTTGCAATAAAGTCACCGCCGATAAGGGCCAGCAGGGGACAGATGTTATGAAACCGGTTTCCAAGTCACTTTCTGTGTCAGGTGCCCTTTGTTTGGGGACTGTGTTACCTAAGAGGCAGGGTCAAGTTGCGCCTTTTGAATATTCCTTGACCCTCAAGCAAGAACGTGTGTGGGAGCCATGGTTTGGCACCCTGCTTCCGTGAGATCTAGGGCTGGGTGTCAGGGAGACATTGGAAGTGACTCTGGGTTTTCTCCTCTGCAGGCAAGATACTCTTTCAGGTGTAAACAGCCTTTGACATGGTGTCTCTTCACAGCAATAGAAAAGTAACGAAGACATCAGGCGAGTGCTCTACCGCTGTGGTACATCACCAACACTTTTTGTTTGTTTGTCATTTGAGACACGGTTTTTCTTTATTGCTTTGGAGCCTGTCCTGGAACTCACTCAGTAGACCAGGCTGGCCTCAGACTCACAGACATCCACCTGCCCTTGCCTCCTGAGTGCTGGTATTAAAGGCATACACCACCAATGCCTGGCATCACCAACACTTTAAAGGTTTTAATTGGTCATAAGTTCTTGATACGTTTTTGTGCAGGGATTGGTGCTTATCTCAGCCTTCCTAATGCAAAGATGAGAAGCATGGGCGGCCATGCCCATCCTTAGGCCTCACTTTCTTAACAAGACTTTACTTCCCTTTACTGGAGAGAGAGATGGAGTTAGGGAGAGGAGGCAACAGCCTTCTTGTGAGGTTCAGCCAATGCCTGTCTGATGCTGGCAGCAGAGCTATACTCCAGTGACTGAGGAAAGATAAAGGTAAGGAAACCATGGTGATTTCAGGCCACAGTAGACTTCAATGACACCAGCACCTTGCACCTGCTGAGCTGGGTAATCTGACACTGAACTTGGGTCATGATTCAAAGCCAGGATTCCCAGTAGATGCTACAGAATTGCATTTCATGCAGTAACTGCCACAGTCCTCACACTTTGTGGGAGGTATATAGCCTTCACCTACTAAAAAACTGAAGGACACAGATGTCATGAACCTTCATCTTAGGCCACATAATGGATTAGAACTATATGATACTCATGATAGCTACTCCCCAAGCATGACCATCACATGCTTGAAATGTGCCAGGTGTGGTAGCACAGACCTATAGTCTCAGCATGGGGAGGCTGAGAGGAGAACATTATTGTTATACTCCAGTGTCTGAGGAGAAAAGTCAGGAAATCACAGTGGTTTCAGGCAAGTGCCTGTACTTTTCTGACCTTGGCATGGTGCCACAGTAAACTTCGATGACACCAGGACCTTCCTTGGTCCTGCCAATGAGATGATCGGGCACTGAACTTGGGTCATTATCCCAACCCAGGATTCCCAGTGGGAGTCATGAACTTGCATTTCATGTGGTACCTGTCACAGTCCTCACACTTTGGGGGCAGTATATCGCCTTCACCTACTAATAGATGGAAGCACATGTTAGGAACCTTTATCTTAGGCTACACACTGACTTGGACCACATCAGCCTTGAGTAGAGAGGGAAACCTTGTCTAACACACACACACACACACACAAACCAAACAGACCAACCAGTGAATGCATTTCAAATGTGATATAGCTAATCAAATATTAATTTAAATAAACTCAATTTGGAAATTGTTACCCAACTATTGGAGAACTTCAGCTATTCCTGTAGCATCAGGTTCATGGAATTTCTCTTTTCTAGTGTGGGGTTTCATGAACTCTAAATACAAATCCAAGATTTTATAAGGGGAGTAAAAGAAAGACAAAGAACAAAAGAACATCTTTGGAGACAATTTAGGTCTCCAATTAAGTCAGGCTCTCATTGCCAAAATGCACACCAGATTTCAAGCACAGCATGAAGAAATCATAACAGCAAAAACATTGCCAGGCCTGGTGATGTTAGCTTACACACAGCTACTTCAGAAGTTGAGGTAAATTGACGGTTAAAGGCCATTCAGAGCTGTAAAGTGAGACCTAAAACCAATTACTAGGAATGGTGGCACAAATCCCTAATCCTGACACTTGGGAGGTAGAGTCAGGAGGACCAGGACTTCAGAGCCAGCCTTAGCTATATAGTGAGACTCTTTTCCCTAAACAAAACAACAATATAAAGAAATTATGGGGCCCATGCATATGGCTAAGTTGGTAGAATTGTGGCTTACATAGCACATCTGGAACTCTAAGTTTAATCCTCAGCACTGCTAATATGAACATGATAACTCACGATTGTATTCCCAGCACCTGGGAGATGGAGGCAGGGAGATCAAATTTCAAAGTCATCTTTGGCTACCAAGGGAATTCAAGGTCAAGCAGGCCTATATTAGACCTTGTCTTTAAAAGAGGGAAGACATTACGGTGCAATATTAGCATTGACTTGCTGATCTTGTTGTGCCGGAATTTTGAACCCCAAAATCACCAAGAGACCCATTTCGATGCAAAAGCAAAGAGTCTTTTATTGTAGATGTTTAATGAGCTAACCCCATTAGCTCGGGCCCTTCACCCTGCCACCATGGCGAATGGCTGGAAAAAGACCCCAAGCAACCTCGAGGCAGGGATCTTAAAGGGCAGCATAAGGGGAGTGTCTAGGGTATGAAACAGTCTCAGGATTGGTGTGCTTCCAGGTTTGGGTGACCTGCCCTGTGCTGATTGGTCAACTGGTTGTTGTGGCCCACAGGCCCTCCCAGGGTGGTTGCTATGTTCTGCACGTCACTGTTGTACACTGTCTGTAAAGCACACCCAGGGCTGTAAAGCACAGCCCCACCAGCTAACTTCTAATTGGTTCCTTGTCACGAGGAGGGCTCTGACCTCCTAAGTGACCAGGACAGGAGCGGCAAGGTCATGCAAGCACATGTTAGCTTGTAATGGCTGCCAAAATGGGGGACTGGTCACTACAATCTATCAGGAGGACCAATTCGTGGAGTCAGCCTTGGCCACCGAACCATGATGCTGTTGATGGTTTTGGGTCTTTAATAATTGAAATTTCTTTTTTTGGAGATACTTGGGAACCGTCATTGTAACTGAAAGTGTGATAATTGTGTATTTCAAAATGACCTTAAGTTCCTGCTCCATTTCCAGAGTGAGGGGATTGCAGGCATATGCCACCTTACCCACTTTATGCGATGTTGAGGATAAAACTCAGAACTTGGTGAATTCTGGGCAAAAGCTGCATCTCCAGCAAATTTTGTCCTATGATGCCACTGTAATTTGAAAGATTTCTGTAGAGGCCAGTGTTGTTTACATGGTCCCTTCTCAGTTTCTTCCCCCTCTTCCTCTGCCGATGAGTCAACACAACCTTCCAGTTCTTCATTTGTCATCAATTCTGCTGTGGATATCAGGATAAGAAACAAGTCTCCAGAGACAGAGGATAAAATTCTCATCTAAGCCATAGACATATACAACCTTCCATGATCCACATACATGAACTATACAAGCTTATACCAATTTATATTTTCCCACATGAATGATGAATAATAAAGTCCACACAGTGAATGGTTGCAGGAAAGACTGTCAGTAAAATAAAACTTGGGGCTTATTGGTATGGAATGAATGTATTTTGTGTGTGAAAGGGCATAAGGGTTGTGTGTGTGTGTGGGTGTGTATGTGTGTGTGTGTTGTGGTAGGAAAGCTGCAGTATAAATGTCATCTCTGAAACCCATGTTGAAATTTTAATGTCTTTATAACAATGCTAAGAAGTGAGGTCTTCAATGTGTGATAATGGTATAAAGCTTTTGCATTTATGTTACAGATGGATGGTGAATGTTGCCCCAAACGTGTGCTTGAACATCTGGTCCACAGCCGTAGTTCTTGGGGAATTATGGAATCGTTAAGAGGCAAGGCCTGCCTGGTGGAATTGGGTGACTTACAATAGACTATCCTTAGATTATATGATGTCTTAGACCTGGGCCAGATTCCTGCTTGTTCCTTTTTCTCGTTTCTCATCGGCCACCATTATGTGACCAGCCATGAGCTCCCCTATCAAGCCTGGGACTCCAACTGACAAGGATTCCAGCCTTTGAGTAACAGGGCCTTGTTTATCCTAACCACCCTGTTCGGGACCATTTTTCTGCATTTGTTGCTTTTCTTGTCACCATGGGCAAATTCCTGCTTCAGAGCAACTGAGAGGAAAGATGTCTTTTCTGTGAGTCTCTTGGCAGATTCAGTGTAGCGCTTGGGGTTTTGGTCTTGGCAGATGGAAGAAGATGGTGGAGGATAAAGAGGAGGAAGAGGATTCTCTCTCTCTCTCTCCTCTCTCTCTCTCTCTCTCTCTCTCTGTGTGTCTCTGTCTCTGTCTCTCTTTCACACACACACACACAGAGACAGACAGACAGACACACACACATACACACACATGCACACACACACACAGAGAGAGAGAGAGAGAGAGAGAGAGAGAGAGAGAGATAGTCTCATGAGGTAGAGTTGTGACTGTCAGCTTGCCCCCAACAACCTTCCTCTTTCTTGCAAGCTTTACCTCTTAGGGTGTCCTGCCTCCTCCCCAAATAGTGTTATCTGTTAGGTGCAAAATGTTGACATGTGAACCCATGACAAAGATTTCACATTCAAAACTAACACTTTGTGAATGTGTTAGTCATCACTGAGGTGGTGGCCTTGCTAAGGAAGTCCATTTCATTTTGCACTTTCTCCTTGAGTCTTAGGTGGTACAGTTGCTGACCCCTATGTCATGTTATAGTGCAACAGCAAGGGCCTCACCAGACGCCAGTGCTGTGTTCTTGCAAACAACTGCTTCCAGAACAAAACATCCTATTCATATAATGGCTGGGTTTCCAGTATCCTGCTACAGCAGCATACAGACTAATACAGCCTCTGCATCACAGAACTTCATGTTCTGTGAAGACAGCCAGGAGGACAGAAGTATCTGCCTTTAGGCACAAGAATCAGAGACTATATTAGTTGGACTTTCTATCTCCTTGACAAAGCACCACTTCCAAAGGCAACCTGGGGAGGAAAGGGTTATTTTGCTTGCATTTCCCTCCTCCAGTCCGTCATCTGTAGAAAGCTGTCTTTGTGGGGCAGTAGTCAGAGCCAGATGACTTGCCCCAGGTTTGTACCTGTGAGGGAGAGTGTGGGTAAAGAAGGGTAGCTAAAGGAAGTGGGAAACTCGGGAATATTGTCAGGAGGGTGAGTTCAACCCATAGAGAACGCCCTTAGTTTATCCTTCAGCAATCTTAAGTACCCCACCCAAAGTGGGGCAATGGCAGAAGGAATTGATTATCATGTATAAGGGGCAAACAGACTCACTCCCCTTAACCCTCTAGGCATTTGGTAGCCATACCTGCCCTTGGGCTTTCAGGGTCAAGAGTAAACACACCTGAGCCCCAGTCTGTTGTTATTTAGATGAAGACATCTGCTACCAAGTTTGAAACATCCTGCAGCCACCAAGCTGTAGCCTCACAGGTATAAGGACAGTTTTGAACTCTTTGATCTTGAGGCAAGATGAAATGGACCCCTCTTCATGGGCCCTGACAATCATCCAGAGAAGTAAGGAGAGGGACCTAGACACTGGAGCTGATGCAGAGCCTAGAGAGGGTGCTACTTCCTGGCTTGTTCCTCATGGCTTGCTTAGTCCACTTTCTTATAGAACCCAGGACCCCAGCCCAGGGACAGCAGCACCTGCAGTGGACTGAACTCTATCAATCATTATTAATCACTAATAAAAATTGCCCTGCAGTGTGATTTTATGCATGCATTTTCTCAGCTGAAGCTCCTTCCTCTCAAATGACCCCAGCTGGTGTCAAGTGAACATAAAAGCAGCCAGCACAACACCCAGAGGTTCCCACCGCTCCTCTGCAGGTTTCAGCCTCTCTCTCCTCTGGCTCCACAGCCTCTGCCCTCCTGAATCTCTTGCCTCTCCTCCTCTCTCTTCTTTTCTCTCATTTGTGGCTGTCAGGGACTCTGGAGAAATCGCATCTGCGGCCCTTCAAGGACATGGGTTGGGGACTGCACAGACACACAGAGACACGCAGAGGGCCATGGGACAGTCTTCTTGTCACTTCAATGTAATCACATTCACATATGAAGCTAAGCACACTCAGAAGGACCTCCACCATTGAAGACTGTATCTGCAAACACACCCCACACGTGCAAGAGTAGACTAGCTATCATGTCTAGACTCAACCGCAGAAACACACAGCCTCACAGTCATAATAGAAGTGACCTTTCACATATGAAAAGCGTACAGTGCACACACTCAGGTCCATGCCTGAATAAATAATCAGATAGATCTGAGCTGACATGTGTACACTCACCCCCAGAAATAGATATGCATTACTCCCAATGCCCTTTTGTCCTGTATATCTGGTTCATGGTGTCCCTGCCAACATCTAGGGTGGGGATGAGGGAATAGGGAGTCAACAGATCACCGGTAGCCCACGCAGGAACTGTAGGTGCTCACACTCTTAAACAACGATGAGACAGGAGCAACTGAAGTTGCATAACTGGGTGGAGAGCAAGGTGGAGCATAAATGATCCTGCTGGAGTGTGCGGTGTAGTGGATTGTGTTCAGATGAGGACCATGGAGCCTAGTGTCCTGCTCCTCCTCACTTTCCTCCTGGGCTTCTTAGTGCTGTTGGCTAGAGGACACCCAAAGGTTCATTGCCACCTCCCACCAGGACCCCGTCCTCTGCCCTTCTTGGGGAACCTCCTGCAGATGGACAGAAGAGGACTCCTCAACTCCTTCATGCGGGTGAGACTTACGTGGGGATTTAGTGTGGGCTTGCCTCTGCTTTTGTCTATGGAGATCTCTCATTAGGATGAGGAACGGACCCCTTCCAGGCCGTAGGTTCAGGTGGGAAGTTCGCTGAGTGTAAGGTAAGATGCTGATTGGTAGTGGATAGTGTTCAGATTCACAGGATTGTCCTCGCTATGTTGTGGGTCCCTGTGCTTGGAGTGTGACAGGTGTCCAGATGGTGAGGTGTAAACATTTACACAAGGGGCCTGTCCAGAAAGGAAAGAGAAATATCAGAGGCATCTACAACAGGTTTTGTTCCTGTAAACAAAAGAGAGAGCAAAGATTAGATTGAGGTGTTCAGGGACGAAGAGGAGAGGTAGGCAGAGCAGGAGGAGGGGTGAGTAGGGAGTGTATATCTGTTTCTTCCAGCAACTAGCATTGTATTTTCCAGTCTTTGCATTGATGCTTCACACTTGGGGTTTAACGCTTAATTACCACCTGTTTATTACTACTTAATCAGCCTCTGCATCATGGTCCCACCTTCCAAGAGAGAGCTGAAGAAGTGGCTGTAAGTCCCACTCCTCTGTCTCTCCCCATGGTGTGGCAATCTCCCCCTTGAACCTTGTATATATTACCTCCTGGCTTTTAAAAGTCCCCCCCCCAATTGATGGCAAATTCAGTTATTTTAATTTACATTGTGTGATAGGGTCTCCTTGTGTTTTTTAGGTTGGCTTCCAACTCATGATATATAGGTGGATAGTAATGAATTAACCAGACCTGGTAGAGTAGTAAATGGTGTTTATTTGGGAAAGAACTTACACAGAAACCAAGTGACATACTGTAGTGGGGTTCCTGCTCCAAGGATGCAGACCCTGCCTCCCAGATGCTCTGGGTGAACCGAAGGGCCTTCTGAATCCCAATCATTTCGCTGTGACCAGCCATATCTGCATCTGTAAACACGCCCAACAGGTGTGGCCACTGATACAGGTGCAGAGGTGAGTATATTGATGCAATTCCCTTTTTAGTCTAAAGAAGGTTTAGGCTTGATACAAAACTATGTACAATTTAGTGAATACCAGATATGCTCTAGGAGGAGGAATGGTAAAAACAGACCCACTGAAGACCATAGTGAATACCAAATATGCTCTAGAAGGAGGAAAGGTAAGAACAGACTCAATGAAGACCATAGTGAATACCAAATATGCTCTAGGAGAAGGAAAGGTAAAGACAGACTCACTGAAGACCATAGTGAATACCAAATACGCTCTAGGAGGAGGAATGGTAAAAATAGACCAACTGAAGACCATAGTGAATACCAAATACGCTCTAGGAGGAGGAAAGGTAAGAACAGACTCAATGAAGACCATAGTGAATACCAAATATGCTCTAGGAGAAGGAAAGGTAAAAACAGACTCACTGAAGACCATAGTGAATACCAAATATGCTCTAGGAGGAGGAAAGGTAAGAACAGACTCAATGAAGACCATAGTGAATACCAAATATGCTCTAGGAGGAGGAAAGGTAAGAACAGACTCAATGAAGACCATAGTGAATACCAAATATACTCTAGGAGAAGGAAAGGTAAAAACAGACTCACTGAAGACCATAGTGAATACCAAATATGCTCTAGGAGAAGGAAAGGTAAAGACAGACTCACTGAAGACCATAGTGAATACCAAATACGCTCTAGGAGGAGGAATGGTAAAAATAGACCAACTGAAGACCATAGTGAATACCAAATACGCTCTAGGAGGAGGAAAGGTAAGAACAGACTCAATGAAGACCATAGTGAATACCAAATATGCTCTAGGACAAGGAAAGGTAAAAACAGACTCACTGAAGACCATAGTGAATACCAAATATGCTCTAGGAGGAGGAAAGGTAAGAACAGACTCAATGAAGACCATAGTGAATACCAAATATGCTCTAGGAGGAGGAAAGGTAAGAACAGACTCAATGAAGACCATAGTGAATACCAAATATACTCTAGGAGAAGGAAAGGTAAAAACAGACTCACTGAAGACCATAGTGAATACCAGTTATGCTCTAGAAGGAAAGGTAAAAACAGACTCACTGAAGACCATAGTGAATACCAAATATGCTCTAGGAGAAGGAAAGGTAAAAACAGACTCACTGAAGACCATAGTGAATACCAGTTATGCTCTAGAAGGAAAGGTAAAAACAGACTCACTGAAGACCATAGTGAATACCAAATATGCTCTAGGAGAAGGAAAGGTAAAGACAGACTCACTGAAGACCATAGTGAATACCAAATACGCTCTAGGAGGAGGAATGGTAAAAATAGACCCACTGAAGACCATAGTGAATACCAAATATGCTCTAGAAGGAAAGGTAAAAACAGACTCACTGAAGACCATAGTGAATACCAAATACGCTCTAGGAGAAGGAAAGGTAAAGACAGACTCACTGAAGACCATAGTGAATACCAAATACGCTCTAGGAGGAGGAATGATAAAAATAGACCCACTGAAGACCATAGTGAATACCAAATATGCTCTAGAAGGAAAGGTAAAAACAGACTCACTGAAGACCATAGTGAATACCAAATATGCTCTAGGAGAAGAAAGGTAAAGACAGACTCACTGAAGACCATAGTGAATACCAAATATGCTCTAGGAGGAGGAATGGTAAAGACAGACTCACTGAAGACCATAGTGAATACCAAATATGCTCTAGGAGAAGGAAAGGTAAAAACAGATTCACTGAAGACCATAGTGAATACCAAATACGCTCTAGGAGGAGGAATGGTAAAAATAGACCCACTGAAGACCATAGTGAATACCAAATATGCTCTAGGAGGAGGAATGGTAAAGACAGACTCACTGAAGACCACCGCCAGTGACGCAGCAAACAGCAATAGAGAAGAACCAAATGTCCAGTCGCAGGACAAAGCACGACAGAGAATCTGCGAAGTTGTCCTAAGCTGGAAAGTTTAAGTCCTATACCTCATCCTTCTCTCTAAGAAGAAAGGACAGCAACTGTGACAGTCTAATCTTCATCCTCATCAGAGACCTGAGAAGGAGGAAAACAATACTAGGGCAGGCAGGAAGTTCAGGGGAGCGACTTCCAAAGGTGCAGAGAAGACAGAAACAGCAGGGTACGTGGACAGTCACCCAAAGTCTCACAGCAGTGTAGGGGAACCAGCTTTGCCTGAGGCCTAGAGTAACTGACTGACCAACACAGAAGCAGGGAGGTTGAAAGACTGTCTTACCCTGACTTGGCAGGTTCAGTGGTCTTCTGAGTTTAACTCCTGCAAGCACGGTAGGACAGCATGTCCAAAGTGAGTGGTGTAGGCGGGGGCAGTTCTTTGCCAAGTAGCCGAGGAGAGAATGAACTCCAGAAGGAGTGTCCTCAGTGCCCATGATACTCTCAGGAATAGCTCTGTGCTGTTAGGAGCAGTTGTGTCTCATGTCAACGGAGTACTAATATTAAAACATTTAAATGCCATATTCTGTAGGTCTTTGAAGTGTTTGAAGATCAAATATCGATGTCTGACTAACGTCATTGGTATAAGAGACATGGGTAACTATAATCTGTAGTTCTCAGAAACATAGTTGCTCAATGGCTGAAGCTTCCCAAAATAATTTAGCAAGGACAATTACTTCAATTAATGTAACTATATGCACATGACACATTCTCTCTCTCTCTATATGCATATATCTATATCTATATCTCTAGATCTCTATGTTATCTCTATATCTCTATCAATATCTCTATATCTATATCTCTATATCTCTATCTCTATATCTCTATCTCTATATCTCTATCTCTATATCTCTATCTCTATATCTCTATCTCTATATCTCTATATCTATATCTCTATATCTCTATATCTATATCTCTATATCTCTATATCTATATATCCATATCTATATATCTATATCTCTATATATCCATATCTATATATCTATATATCTATATCTATATCTCAATAACAACTGAATTGTCTTGACTAGAGGTAGAACTGCAAAGTGCAATATAAAATATCCTAAGTTGTATCAATATACAATATATAAAAGATAGTTTCACATTTGTTTGGGAAACAGAAAGAAGACACTATTTAGACAACATACAAGAATCTAACAACTAGAGTTATCTATAGCTAATGGTTGCTAAATTTAGTTCGCAAGAAGATATGGTAACCTATTTCCCATTCTAACCATACCCTTCCCATCCATCCCCTTATACCCGAGTCTGACAATCATCTTCCATATGCAACCCCATTCAACTTAAAATCAACTCTAATCAGGTGATCATTATCCCCATTTTTAGTTATGAGAGAAAAGAAAACAAAACCCAAAATACCTTTAATACCAACTGTAGGGAAAGGTGGCATTCTTTTTTTTTCAGAATTACTTCCCACTGAAATGGGGCAAAGGTAACTCTATGGGATACTGTAGGAAAAAATAAAACAAGGAAAAATTTCCAGAAGACTAGCTGTAACATTTGTAGCTAGTCTCTGTGAGGCAGGAAATGCTTAACTGAAGTTCTTATCTGAAGCTCTGGCCAGGGTGTAATAAAAAGGTGCATCATTTCAGCTAGCTAATCTGGAATTGTCTAGAGCAGTAAAGTCCCAAACTGGTCTTAGGTGTTATCTTTTAGTTCAAAGACATCAAGTTGAATCAAGTGGATTCTATGAAGTGGGGCCCCATCTTCTTTCTGGAGATTTCAAAGATTGCTGTTAGGAAATTTTTTTGTTTACTTGAGAAGACTTAAACATTAATATCAGCACAGAAAATTTAGCTTTAATAGGCATGCGTACAGGGAAAGGTAACAATAAAGATGGAAATAAGTGTGAGGGAATAGGATTTTTGAGAGAAAACAAAGTTATGACAATAGTAGTCCTTAGATTTTGTTTTCTTCTGTCTTACACCAATTGGCCTTTTTATATGAGACAGAAACTCTGAATTTTACTTAAACATGTTTGAATTTGGAGAAGGAGGGTCAAATCCAACTCCAAAGCCATCTTTGAATTTTATGTGAATTGGTACTATGACTACTGGGAAGTAAGGAGATATAAATTTAGTATAAAGATTTTACCATAAATACATTTGGTACCATAAGTCAGATTCTTCTTTGTTTGATGGTTCTTTCTGGATAGCTAGCCTCTCTTCCTTAGGCATCTACACCTTCGAAGTCTTTTGGCTTCTTGAAGATGGGTGTTTTCTGTCTTACTGTAAACTCTAGAACAGAACACTCCCCCTACCTTTGTGAGGTCTCCATACATCACGTGGGATATACCTTGGTGGATGACCTGTCATTTCTCCTCACCAAGAGGTTTCTCCTGTTTGAGTCAGATCTTGATCAACTTTGATGGTATCCACAGCCTTTCTTCTCCTGTAGAAACAAGGACGAAACCCCTACTCCAATGTAACCCATATCCTGGTTTCCATACTGAGGTCACTGTATCCTTGAACTACACTGGTTGATTTAGTTCAGAAGCTTTTTTCTATAGTCCAGTGTCTTTCTGCAGCTGTTTTTCTTTTCTCATTAGCATTAAGAAAGTTTAATATGAGTAAAGCATTATGTAATCAGTTTTTGGGGGTCTTTGTTTCCCCTGCCTGTTTATAGAGCATTTGCTTTCAAGTGCAATTAGATCTCTTAACTACTGCTTGTTCTGTAGGAACCTGTGGTATTCAAGTTATATGCATCATGTTATAATATTTACTGGAAGACATATGCTGGGAACATTGTTAGTTTTTATTTATGCAGGTATACCCATAATAACCATTACCCTTATAGGTGTGTTATAACAAAATCAGCCCTTTCTGAGCTTAGAGAAGTTGCCCATTGAAATCCTCAAAATGTGTCTATTGTGTGGTGCACATATTTTAATTTTCCAAATTCTGCAAAGTGAAACACATTCATTTGCCCAATTTCATTTCCATGCATACCTTTAGGGTTACTACCTGCTGGTAAAGGAGATTGGTTATAGAATGAACAAGTAGGACATTTTAAAAAATATTTCTTTACCTTGCTGCCAAGTGATGGAAAAATCCTTTTTTAAATCTTTGCTATTCACGTAGTGTTTTCTTTTTAATGAAATTGTGAGACCCCAAGCATACTTCCTATTAATAAACTATCAGTTTCATCATTGTGTGTGTGTGTGTGTGTGTGTGTGTGTGTGTACATACATACATATATGATGAGCCCTATGCCTGGTTATTTCTTGTCATTGTATAAACAATGGAGTTAATTCTATTTCATCAGGAATAAATTCAGCAGTTTCAATGTATAAGACAACTCTCTCTGCACATTGAGAGTCAGTAACTATATTGAGAGGTTCTGTAAAATTCATAAGTACCATGAGAATGGCGGACAATTCTGCCTTTTGTACAGAGTTATAAGGGCTGTGAACCACTTTACTTTTATTTCCTGATTTATATCCTGCCTTACCTGTTCTCCTTACAATGCATGGAAGGATCCAAATGGATTTCTTTTTCTTTTTCTTTTACACTTTTTTATTATATATTTAAAGTAGAAACAAGCTTGCTTCCCATGTCAGTCCCAGTTCCCTCTCTCTCTCCTCCATGGCCACTCTCCCCACCAGGCCCCCCCAGCCCCCCACCCAATCCCCACTCCATTCCCCAGGGAGGGTAAGGCCCTCCATGGGGGATCTCTAGAGTCTGTCGTTTTGTTCGGGGGGGGCAGCCCTCCCCCAAGTATCCAGATTGAGAGAGTATCCCTCATTGTGGGATGGGCACCCAAAGTCCATTTGTGTGCCAGGGATAAACACTGATCATGTGATTTTTGTTTCTCAACTTGTTTATATAGTGGATTACATTAATGGATTTTTGTATGTTGAACCATCCCTGCATCCCTGGGATGAAACCTACTTGATCATGGTGGATGATTTTTCTAATGTGTTCTTGGATTCGATTTGCCAGTATTTTATTGAGTATTTTTGCATTAATGTTCATGAGGGATATTGGTCTGAAGTTTTCTTTCTTAGGGATTCACTCTTCCATCTCTTGTATTCTGTTGGTTATGCTTGCATCTGTAGTACCTGACCATTTTCCCAGCTTTTCTATTTCCAGCATTCCTTCAGCCTGTGTTTTTTTTAATTGTCTCCATGTCAGCTTTCAACCCTTGCATTGTTTGAATTGTTTCTTGTAATTTTTGCTTTGTGCTTTCCTCCCTTTCTTGCATTTGTTGGAATTTTTGGTTTGCTTTTTCTTCCATTTCTTGCATTTTTGGTTTGTTCTTTCTTCTATTTATTTAAGGGATTTTTCTCATATCCTCTTTGAGGGCCTCTATCATTTTCATAAAGGTGTTTTTAAGGTTATTCCCTTCTGCTTATTCTGCATTGGGGTGTTCAGCTCTTGCTGGTGTAGAATCTCTAGACTCTGGCGGTGTCATATTTGTTTTTCTGTTGCTCAGTGTGTTCTTATGTTGCCTCTTCATCACTTCTTACAGTGGGTGTAGAAAGAGCCTCTTCCTCTCCTGCTGTGTAGGTGATCAGGGTTCCCTTTTGACGGGTGCAAGCAATTCCAATACTCTCTGTCCTCTGCCCTCTGCTCTGAATGTAGCGGGAGTAGACTGGCTTTCTCTGCAGGCTCCTGGTTGCTTGGTCATCTGGGGGTGAGTGGACCTGGCTGCAGTCCCCAGGCCCAGGAGATCTGAGGGAGGGTGAGAGGGAGCAATTTGGGTCTTAGATGGGGGCCCGGAGCTCACCCTTGCACTCTGCCCAGATTTCTTTTTAATAAGAAATACAGGAGAATTCCAAGGGCTGATAGATTCTTTAATAAATTCAGCATTTAGCTGTTCCTGAACCAACTCTTCTAGAGCCTCTAGCTTTTCAGAGGTCCTAGGCTAATGCCACACCCAGACAGGTTCATCAGTTAGACACTTTTTTTTTTTTTTTTTGGTTTTTACGAGACAGGGTTTCTCTGTATTGTTTAGGAGGCTATCGGTCCAGCCCGGCCTCAAACTCACAGAGATCCGCCTGCCTCTGCCTCCCGAGTGCTGGGATTAAAGGCGTGTGCCACCACTGCCCAGCTAGTTAGCCACTTTTAGGGTAGGGCTTTTGATTCCTCTGTTAGTTTGGCACTTGTGTTGTGTTTTTGTATAGCCGGTATAGTTGGTGTCTGTTTTTTTTTTTTTTTTTTGAAATTTTTTTATTTATTTATTTTTTTTATTTTCCATTTTAAATTTAGATAAGAAACAAGGTTGCTTCACAAGTCAGTACGAGGTCCCTCTCCCTTTCCCTCCCCTCCTCCCGTGCCCTCCCCCCCATCCCCCCCCGTTATCCCCTCATTCCCCCAGGGAGGGTGAGGCCCTCCATGGGGGTGTCCATAGTCTGTCATTTCATATAGGGCAGGGCCTAGACCCTTCCCCAAGAGTTCAGGGTGAGAGTGCACCTCACATTGTTCTATGGGAGTCCAGAGACCGTGTGTATACTTGGGATGGGTACTGATCTGCTGTCCAAGGCTCAATAGATTACCTAGGCCTCCTCACTGACACCCAGATTCAGGGGGTCTTGATCAGTCCCATGCTGGATTCCCAGGCTGATGCCTGGGATTCAAGAGTTAACCTTTGTCTGGTCAGCTGTTTCGGGGGTTCAACCAGCCCAGTCTTAATCCCTTTGATCATCAGTCCTCCCTCTCTGATACTGGCTTTCTTGAGTTCAGCTCAGTACTTAACCAGCCAGTAAATGAAGTTTCTGTTTCCCAGACTCTCTGGCAATAGGATTGTAGGCTGGCACTCCCCAGATCTATGTCTAAAATCCATATATGAGAGAGTACATGCCATGTTTCTCTTTTTGTGACTGGGTTACCTCACTCAGGATGGTTTCTTCTAGTGTCATCCATTTGCCTGCGAATCTCATGATTCCATTATTTTTTTCTGCTGAATAGTACTCCATTGTGTAGATGTACCACATTTTCTCTATCCATTCTTCGGGTGAGGGACATCTAGGTTGCTTCCAAGTTCTGGCTATTACAAATAAAGCTGCTATGAACATAGTGGAGCAGACATCTTTGTTATATGAATGGGCATCTTTTGGATATATGCCTAAGAGTGCAGTTGCTGGGTCTTGTGGTAGGTTTATTCCCATTTTTCTGAGGAATCTCCATACTGCTTTCCAAAGTGGCTGAACCAGTTGGCACTCCCACCAGCAATGGAGGAGTGTCCCCCTTTCACCACATCCTCTCCAGCATAAATTGTCATTGGTGTTTTTGATTTTAGCCATTCTGACAGGAGTGAGATGGTATCTCAGAGTTGCTTTGATTTGCATTTCCCGGATGGCTAAGGATGTTGAGCACTTTCTCAAGTGCCTCTCGGCCATTTTAGACTCCTCTATTGAAAACTCTCTATTTAGTTCTGCAGCCCACTTCTTAATTGGGTCCTTTGCTGTTTTGGAGACTTGCTTCTTGAGTTCTTTGTAAATTTTGGAGATCAACCCTCTGTCAGATGTGGGATTAGTGAATATTTTTTCCCATTCTGTGGGCTGCCTTTTTGTCTTGCTGACTGTGTCCTTTGCCTTACAGAAGCTTCTCAGTTTCAGTAGGTCCCATTTATTAATTGTTGATCTCACTGTCTGTGCTACTGGTGTTATGTTCAGGAAGCTGTCTCCTGTACCAATTCTTTCAAGGGTACCACCCACTTTCTCTTCTAAGAGGTTCAGTGTGGCTGGATTTATGTTGAGGTCTTTGATCCATTTGGACTTAAGTTTTGTGCATGGCGATAAACATGGATCGATCCGCATTTTTCTACATGCCAGTCTCCAATTATGCCAGCACCATTTGTTGAAGATGCTTTCTTTATTCCATTGTATATTTTTAGCTTCTTTGTCAAAGATCAGATGTTCGTACGTGTGTGGGTTAATACCCGGATTTTCAATTCGATTCCATTGGTCTGCCTGTCTATTTTTGTGCCAATACCAAGCTGTTTTCAGGACTATAGCTCTATAATAGAGCTTGAGGTCAGGGATAGTGATGCCTCCGGATGTTGCCTTGTTGAACAGGGTTGTTTTGGCTATCCTGGGTCTTTTGTTTTTCCATACAAAATTGATTATTGTTCTTTCAAGGTCTGTGAAGAATTGTGCTGGGATTTTAATGGGGATAGCATTGAATCTGTAGATTGCTTTTGGCAGGATTGCCATTTTTACTACATTGATCCTACCTATCCAAGAGCATGGGAGATCTTTCCATTTTCTGAGGGCT